ACTTGTATTGTTTTTTTTTGTTTTTTTGAGAAGTCAGCTGAGAGCCTCATGGGGTTTCCTTTGTAGGTCACCTGCTGCTTCTCTCTTGATGCCTTTAGAATTCTCTCTTTGTCTTTAATTTTTGGTACTTTAAATATTATGTGTTGGTTTGGGCATGTTTGGGTTCTTCTTAGTTGAGGCTCTCTGTGATTCTTGAACTTGAATGCCTTCTTCTTTTACCAAGTTAGAAAAGTTTTCTGTCACTGTTTCTTCAAATATATTCTCCAACCCTTGCCCATTTCCTTCCTCTTCGGGGACTCCTATGATGCGCATGTTATTATGTTTCCAGTTGTCCCACAGTTCTCTTAAGCTATCTTCCTATTTTTTAATGGTTTTTTTTCTATTGCTTTTCTGATGGGTTGATTTTTTTCTACCCTGCCTTCTAATTCACTGATCCAGTCCTCAGCCTTCTCTACTCTACTTTAAATGTGTTCTTTATTTCTAATATGTCATTCTTCATTTCTATTTGGTGGTTTTTAATTTCCAGCTGGTTGATTTTCAACATTTCTATGTTTTTACTCATGGTGCTCATGTCCTTACACATGCTGTTGAGCTTCCTCAAGATCATGGCTCTGAATTCTAGTTCTGTTAACTTGCTTACCTGCACCTCATTTATCTCATCTTCAGTAGAGTTCTCTTGTTCTTTCATTTGGCTTTTGTTTCTGTGTTTCACCATTTGGCTATCACAGTGAGCTTTGGAGCCTGCCAAATTTTCCCTGTGGGTGTTGCTGTTTTGCTGTTTGTGGCTGTCTCTCCTGGGTTTGGATGAGCCAGGGAGATCCCAGGTTCAACACCACTCTCAAGTCTTACTTTCCTGGTTAAATTTGCTAGCCCAGGGAATGGTACAGTTATCCTCTAGCTTTTTGACTGGAGGCTATCAGTAGGGGTTACTTGAAGAGCCTTGGCTTCTGAGTTGAAGGAAAAACTCCCTCAGGTGCTCAGCATAAGGGGATTTCCCAAGGGTGGGGCAGGTGCTGGTTGTTAATGGGCCTAATTTGCATTTAAATGGCCACTGGGTGGGGTTGGATCTTCGAGGGAGGGGCCACACCTCTCCCCAGAGTCCTGGGAAGGATTAAGATGATCACTGTCCTGTGTGGCTGCAACTCAGCAAAAGCTCTTAGCACCCTCCAAACCCTGAGTGTCCCCACACAGTACTAGTCCAATCCGCCCTCCCTCTGCCGGAGCCAAAGGTGAGTGGCTGTGGCTATTTCGGCCTCTGTCAGGGTTCTGCACTGTGGAGCTGCTTGGGAGTTTAACCCCAGTGCACTGCTCCCCACTAAGGCTGCTGCTGTCTGTGGGCTCCCACCCCCTTCTCACGCCTTTGTGATCCTACCAAAATCTAATCAGTGTTCATGGTTATATGGTCCTCCAGGCTGTTTTTCTGTTGCTTTTTCCTGATGATTTGTCTTTATTTTAATTGTAATTCCAGTTTGGTCCTGGGAGATGGTCTGTGTAGCTTCCATTCACTCCACCTCCATTTTTTGAGTCCAGATCTAGCATTTTTAAAGAAAGAAGAAAGAATAGCTTCAAAATTATTAAATGTGGTACTTATTGCACCTAATGAAGATAGTGACAACTCATGAAATAGTTGTGGCAATTTTATGTACTGAGTCACAGTAGAAAACATATTTCTGTGGCATATGTATTTGAAAGGTAGAAAAGCCACATATATATATAAAAAATTACTGAATTGAATGAAAAGACCTGGGGCTCTTGTTCTAAATACTATATGCTTTTGAGCAAATAGCTGAAACTGTGAAATAGTTGACCTCTGAGGACCACTTCAGCTCATGATTAGAATAAACATATGGGTTGGCTTAGGAAATCAAGGCTAATACCTAAAGATATTTTCAGTACTATTAAATTGGCATTTTTATGTGTCAAAAACATTAAGAAATTTTAATTATTTTAGTAGGTCAAAATAGTTAGGTCAGAAGTGGAAATACTATAGTGAACGGCTATAGTTAAGATATGTATATTGAGAAAATTAAATTTTAAAAAAACTATGAGGAAATAATTATCTCCTGACAATTGGTAAACAAGTAAATAAATAAAAACAAATGAAACCAACAAACACAAAAAGTAAAGAGCTTCTATAAATGCATAGTTGTGGTCTACTTTATTTGTGCTTCTCATGAGTCATATTTAGAAAAAAAGCATATTAGTAAAAATATAAAATACTATCAGAACATAAATTATTCTATTGATGCTATAAAATTGACCATTTTTCTACCTTTTTATTTATAAAATAAATTATAGGGTTTTTGTTTTCTTTTACTCAATTATTTTTTTCTGTAGGCACAACATTCTCCTGCTTTTATGTAAGAATATAAACCTAGTAAGCTTGAGGTGGTACAAGAAACCTAGTAAGCTTTTTAAAATGTTCATCTAAGTAAACAAAATCAAATCAATGTGAGAGCGAAACATTGATTGGCTGCCTCCTGCATGTCCTTCACTGGGGATTGAGCCCCAACCCAGGCATGTGCCCTGACCAGGAATCAAACTGGAACCTCTCAGTCTATGGGATGATGCTGAATCCACTGAGCCGCATTGGCCAGTTTGTTCTTTCTTTTTTATGTTTATGATAACAGTGTGTTTTCAATAGTTTTGCCTGGCCACATGTCTGCCCTAATGTATGTATTTCTGTTACCTGCTTTAAATCTAATTATATTCAAGCTCCTCAAAAGTTTTAAGTTCTTCAAAGAAAATTATTTTTTTAGAAAATAAGAAGTCAGTATCAACACATATTCCTTAGACATGCCTTTGCATGTGTTGGTGTTACTGTCGCATATGATGTTTTTGATGCCTAGCTATTTGAAATTGTCATGGAAGAGAGGCACACATCACCTTAATACATTTGGAAACCTTAAAATATGTTAAGAGGAAACCTCATGTTTAAAATGGCTTTAAAATAGAGTGAACTTTTTAAAATTATGCAAATTATATCATGTGGAAATTGAAGGGATACCCTTTGAGTGGTCTCTACCGCATTTGGAAGGTTTATTATAGACTAAATAAACACTGCTTTAAACTTCAAAGTTAGGTAAGATTATCTTTTTCATCTTAGTCCTTCTGTCCAAGTTTTTCTTTCCATGAGAATAAATGAAATAAAATTAGGACCATAAGGCTCCCTACTGCTTAGAGTTTTAATTCAGGATTTCACTACACTTTCAATTACAGATATTTTCTTGGATTCATGATAAAAGTAGTCTCTTTTTTCTTTGCTGTTGTACCACCAGATAAGTCACCATGAGAGAAATGAGACCAACAGCTATTATAGACCTAGAGAACTGACAGATCATTTTCAAACTTGAGAAAGACATTGATTAGTTTGGTACATTTCAGTAAAAGGCTTATTCAGTCCCTAATAAGCATGTTCATCTGGTGGTAGAACAATGCAGCTCCTTTTAATTTGTTGAAGTTAATGGAAATGCCATCTAACATGAACTTACAATAAGTCAAATTTTTTTCTAAATAATATTTTTTCCAACAGTATATTTTTCCACTTCTGATCACTTAATAAATATATATTAAGTTGACGAATGGATAAAAAAGCTGTGGAACACATACACAATGGAGTACTATGCAGCTGTAAGAAAGAAAGATCCCTTGTCCTTTGAGACGACATGGAGAGATCTGGAAAGTATTATCCTAAGCGAAACAAGCCAAGCAGAGAAAGACAAGTATCATATGATCTCACTTATTTGTGGAATATAATGAACGTAACAGTCTGAGGAATGGGGAAGTCCCAGAGACGTGGAAGTGTGGTACAGACTGACAATCCCCAGAAGAGGGGGTAGTGGGGAAGAGATAAAGCACAGAACTTATATGCATGTATGCATGAACAAAGGTCATGGACAACAAAGCTGGGGACAGGGTGGGGAGGGAGGGAGAGGGGCGAATCAGTGGGGGAAAAAGGAGAAACATCTGTAACAAAAATAAATTAATTAATTTAAAGAAAAAAAAGATCTTTAATTACAATCATGTAACCTAAAATATATGCAGTTTAATAACTTTTTAAAATTTTTCTATATTCTTGCTTTATGTTGTATTTAAAACACCTCATGTCTCAAAATTGAAAATCCGTCAAGGTTTCCCAACAGCTTGGGTTAACTTTTAGCACTTAGTTTGGCTTCATTCTCCTCAAATATTACTAATTCTTATATAGTATAAACTTTATTGATGTATGTTTTTAGATATTAAAAGCAGCAACCTGTTCTATAATTTCAGATTTATCATCCTCCTATTTCATAAATAAGATCTAATATGTTTTGTTTTATGCTATAGACTGAAAGTTTATCTGGTAATGTTTAATTGTATTTATGAGTTTTAAACTTATTTAAAAATAGGTATCCAGCTTTAAAAAAAAAAAAGTATTGTTACTTTTTGTACAGAAACATTTGCTTAATAATTCTAAAATGTTTTGTTCTGTTGCATAAAATGTTGTTGCCAAATTCTGATTTGTTTCACAATCACTCAGGATCACCATTCAGAAGGGACCTTAATATTATTTTATTTTCTTAGAAGCATAAAAGCAACCGTATTAGGTACATTTGAAATGATCTTTAAAAATTTAGACTTAAGTCCTCAGTAATATACATTTCCTAGTTCATTAATGCAGAAATACCATGCATAGATTTTAATCTTGGAGTTAATAATAAAAGTAATTTTCACTAAAAATATAAAAACTGTAATGGTAGAATCATGATATTGTATTTAACTCTCCCACAAAAAGTCACTTTATTACTTTCTTTTGACACTTATTTTCACTCTGGGATTAATTTTACTATATAAGGGCTTTTTAACTATTCTATTAAAATTTCTATTCAGAAGCAATAATATCTAAGAGTGAATAATAGTCATGTAAATCATTATTTCATATTAATGTAAAATATTTTGTAAGTTCTTATGAATTCTGCTGACATGCACAATTGTGAAAAGGTTATCTCTCTCTTCTACAGTGATATGCGCTGGAACAAAGGAACCATTCTTAAAGCATCAGTGGAGTACATCAAGTGGCTACAAAAAGAACAACAGAGAGCTCGAGAATTAGAACATAGACAGAAGAAATTAGAGCAGGCTAACAGGCAGCTTTTACTTCGGATTCAGGTTTTTATAAAAATGTTGCCATAAACCACGTAACTTAAATATGACTAACCTGTCATTAGTTTTATTCACTGGTCTCTTTTTTTTTTGTATTAACAATTATTTTTCCTTCTGAAGGATAACTTTATTGCCTTTTAGAAGATCATGAATTTGGTTGTTTCAATTAGGTTGTATTTAGAAATCTAGGGTAAATAGGACTTAAAAATATATAATGAATGATAAAAAATTGCAAAATGCAGAAAACAAAATCAACTTTATAAATGTACATATTATTTCAGCTAAAAAATAATAAACTAAAACATTTGTTTCTCTAGATAATATTATATTCTCCCCTCCCACTTTTATTTCTTTTGTAACACTGCTATGGATTTTCTTGCCTCAAGGCATATTGTGCAGGTTTATTTTGTCACTCCTTATCTGTTTATGTGACTCCAAATATGGCTTTCTATAACTCCATTTTTTTTAATGAGTATGCTTATTGCCAGGAAAAACACTTACTTTGTTTCCATGAAATTTTAATATAGTGAGAAATTAATCTGGAAAAGTAAAGGAAAGATTTTCCACTCTCTTCAAATGTATTCTGAGTCACTATGGGACCATAGTGTATTTCTTTATAGAACAATAGGAGAATAACTTTTTTAATCTATATATTTTAAGGCTTATTTTTAAGCAATAGAAATATATCAGATTCTATAATTTACAAGAAAGTTTATAATTTGTATTACTCTTCATTTTGCATACTTGCTAATATTTTGGTTCTATTTCTAATTTATTCTTTAGGGTTAAGTCTAATTTCAAAGTCATTATTTAATTATTCTTGTTTGAAATTGCAGGAACTAGAAATACAGGCTCGTGCTCATGGTCTTCTAACCCTGGCTTCACTTGGCACAGTTGATTTAGGTGCTCATGTCACCAAACAACACACCCAACTTGGGCAGAATTCTGTAGACTGTTGCCAACAACTCACTCTGTTTCAGGAAACAAGCCCCAAGCTCCACGATCAAGCTATCGCCTTCTCTGATCCTTTGTCACACTTTACAGATTTATCATTTAGTGCTGCTTTGAAAGAGGAACAAATATTGGGTTATATGCTATTGGATGACACAATATCTCCTTTTGGAACAGATCCTGTGCTATCTGCCACTTTCCCTGCAGTTTCCAAAGAGAGCAGTAGGACAAGCAGTTTTAGCTTAGATGGTGGTGATGAGTAATAAAAAATAAGCACTTAATTCATCAACCAGGAAACAATTCTATGGTGGTGCTATGCAGTTATATTCTCTGTTTCATATATTGTTTCAGCTCCACTTTTCTGAAAGGAATATATTATTCATCAAAAACTGATGGATTAAAAACAGGAGTAGAATAAATATACAGGAAGAAGAAATATGGTGTTGAATTATTGAGGGCAAAAAAGATGATTTTCCTCTTTGACTACAGAGTCCAAATCTACTTAAATTTTGTTTTCTGGAAGGAGATGCAGCATAAGAAATATCTTTCTACTTGATGTACTAACAGACTGTAAAGAATAAACCTCTGAAATATACAAATATTTTCCTAGTTATTAACATATGTCTCCTTCCTTTTCAACTCTTAAAACAGTTTTCAAGTATCATGATCTATAGATTTGGTAGTTCACTGCCTTTCTCTACTGTCTGGCTAACATATAGATTATCTGTCACTTGTAACTGAAAAATGAAAACATAATAAGCATTAGAATTTTCCACAATAAAATACAGAAAATTTATAAAAAATGATTTCTAAAACTGTATACCAATTTCTTTAGTCTGTTTCATTACACAAATTTTAAAAGTATCTTTGAATATTTATGGAGACACGCCCTGTTCAGAAAAAAAACAACACATTTAATACCTTCTTCAAGAATATAGATTAGAATTTTTGTCCCTTCACAAAAACATACCCCAACATAAATTCACACAATGCAGGTAGTATACTTTTTCTTCATTCTTCTGATTTTCTATTTTGAAATCACAATCCAATATATATATTTTTTCATCAAGAAGAGTTGTTGGATAATCAACTTCAGCAAATGAACTATAATAAAAATCCTGCTACTATGACAATTTGTCAGGTATTTAAAATTTATCACTATGTCCAATGTTGAATGTAAAAGAGTTAGTTGTTATTACAGTTTTGCTTCACATTTGTAAAATATTAAAAATTGAATTTTTAAGTGACAAAATAATGTGTATAACAGAAACTCTTACACATTCAACTCTGAGCTAAAGTTCTATTTTTTTAAATTACTTAGAGTACCCTCTGATTTTTGCTAACTTTGTTAGTATTTATTAAGAATATTTATATGTATGATGTTTAACTCAAATTTTTTTCTCTTGAGTTTGTTTTTGGATTGGAAATTGACTTGTAAAATGTGTTGCTCTGTGCTGGACCTCCATGAGTGGTCATCTGTTCAATGAGTATTTGTTGAGCAATACTCAAAACTGCAGTTAGTCCCATGAAAATATACAACAGATAAGCAAGATGATATGGTCTTACTCCTCAGAGAGTTAGCAATACAACATGAGAAACAACAAAAAATGATCAACACCATGTAGAATTCAAGTCCACATGGAGCAGCTTAGGGTAAAGATTACAGAGGGTCAGAGAAAATAAACATAAATAAAGTTTGGAGTATCACAAAAGTCTATGGGAAGAGCAGAATTTAACTTACTTAAAAGCATAAATTGAATGAAGGGGAGGAAAAATAAATCAATAATATCACCCAAATTATAAAAATGAAAATAATTAGGGGAAGTATCTTAATGTGACATTATTAGAAATAAGACAGTCATTTGACCACCCTAGAAAATGCCTGTTGGGGAGTTCTGAAAAGTAATATTGACAACTGATTGTGAAAACCATTGAAAACTAGAATAAAATTACATAGGAGAAATATAATTTTTTATTAGGAAAGAGAAGTCTAAAATTCACAATGCTTTGGTATATTACTAACATAATTGAGATGTACCCTTTCATGCATATTAACTTGGTAGTGAATTTTTTCAAAGAGTGTTTTAGGTATTACATGGAAAATACATCATCACAAAATTTGCAACTAATGCTGATGAAAGAGGAAAAATATTAAATTCCTATGGTATCATAATTATCTCAGGCTTATTTTATAACATTTGCTCAGAGATTGGATATTTAATTTTTATTGTTTGATATGAGAAAAATCATTCTTAACTTATAGGAACAATCATTAAAGCTAGATAGATAAATTCACCTATAATATGCCATATGAAAAAAAGCAATAAGATAATACTTCCTCAAAAATTTTTGGGAGAATATTATATACTTTTAACTTTATGACAAAATTCTACTTCATTATCTGGGGTGATAATTTAACATTGAGAATTATACAGAAAAAATATGTTTTTGTGTCCATTGAAATCATATTGTAGATAGAAGCTAATTTCTGTTCTTACATTATTCTTTATCATCTTTTTTCATAGTCTGAAAAGACTTGCACTGATGATGTCATTACTCCATCATCTTATCTTAGCAAATTGTAAGAACTTGACACCAGATGGTAGAGTCTGGACAAAAGAGATCTGGAAAAAGAACTCATATTTATTGCTACTCTCAGTTTATAATAGCTGTTAGGGGATTGTAAAATGGGTAATGAATTTTTAAAGACAAAGTAAAAGTGGTTCTGTATTACAAAAGTTACAGACTTTCTCCCCAGAAAAATACAGAATTGTATATACAGTAAAAAATATTTATGCACCAAGAGGTTTACGTACCTCCTGAATATCTCCTTGGATTCCAGGTGAAATTTTTCTGCATCAGATCTGTTACTTTAATATATAGCATTGTAGCTGTGTATCCATCAAGAGCTAAATACACAGTTACTGTTATATATAATGATGAATGGGGGAGCCCTAGTTATCTGAATATCATTATCCCAACACCAATAATGATGAGGTTGCATAGGATCATGAAAAAGTGAGTGTGCCAAACACTAAAAAATCGGCTAAGGAAGGTGCTCAATTATAAAGTAGTCCCATTTCAAACACCCTGTTATACATGGATGACACCTGCTATATATTTATGTTTTATATTTATGGGTCAGTTTCTCTATGACTGCAGTATGTTGCAAACATCTGACAATAACATTTTAAATGGTACAAATAAATGTCAAAGTGAAAATTATGTGAATCCTAAAGCAAAATTATTTGAGTAAATAAGAATCATGAGTGAACCCTGGGAAAACTGTCCAGAATATTTTTGCAGAAATTAGACTTACCTTAACACTGAAAGAATTATATTGTTTATCAGATAATTTTTATTAAAAAAGACATTAGCTAAAACTGGACTCTTAATATACAATTAACCAAGCCTCGTCATTCAAAGAATTAATGCATAATAGCAATAGTAATTAAAACTTTGTGAAAAAATAAGATTAATTAAATTCGTCTCTATTATTTTTAGTTGTCTTTCAAATATAATGTCCTATCCAATATAGTTTTTCTAGTTATAAAATATTGGCTGCCTTTTCATGGATTTATATTAAGCAAACTTTCCAACTCCCAATGATTTTTAAAATATATTTGATTGATATTTTTAGAGAAAGAAGAAGGGAGACAGTTAGAAACATCAGTGTCAGAAAGAAACACTCATGACTGCCTCCTTCACGCCTCCTACTGGGGATCGAGCCCACAACCTGAGCATGTGCCCTGACTGGGAATTGAACCAGGGCCTCTCAGTCCATGGAAAGATGCTCAATCCACTGAGCCACACCAGCCACCCCAATAATTTTTTTCTTTTTTATTTATCTTTATTGTTGAAAATATTACACATGTCCATCCTTTTTCCCCCACTGACATCTTCCTTCCCAAACCTGCCCCACAACCCCACCTTCACCACACTGTTGTCTGTATCCATTAGTTATATATATATAAGTTCTTTGGTTTATCTCTTCCTACCCTCTTACCCCCTGACCCCCTTATCTCTGAGATTTGTCAGTCTCGTCTCTACTTGATGTCTCTGGATCTATTTTGTTTGTCAGCTTATTTTATTCATTATGTTCCACAAATAAGAGAAATAATATGATACTTATCTTTCTCTGACTAGCTTATTTCACTTAGCATAAACTCTCCAGGTCCTTCAAGTGGTCTCAAAGGGTAAGAGATCTTTCTTTCTTACAGCTGTATAGCATTCTGTGTAAATATAACACAGATCTTTTTTTGTCCACTCATCTACTAATGAACAATTGGGCTGTTTCCACATCTTAGCCATTGTAAATAGTGTGGCTATGAACATAAGGGTACATATATTCTTTCTGATTGGTGTTTTGGGCTTCTTAAGGTATATTCCTAGAAGTGTAATCACTGGGTCAGATGGCAGTTCAATTGTTAATTTTTTGAGAAAACACTATATTGTTTTCCATAGTGGCTGCGCCAGTCTGCGTTCCCATCAGCAGTGTACTTAAGTACCCTTTTCCCCACACCCTCGCCAGCATTTGTTGTTTGGTGATTTTTGATGGTAGCCATTCTGGCAGGTGTGAGGTGATATCACATAGTCATTTTAATTTGCATCTCTCTGATGATTAATGATGTTAAGAATTTTTTAATATGCCTCTGGGCCATTTGTATGTCCTCTTTGGAGAAGCATCTATTCAGGTCCTCTGCCTATTTTTAAATCGGATTGTTGATCTTCATTTTATTGAGTTCTATGAGCACTTTATATATTTTGGAAATTAACCCCTTATCTGATGTATTATTGTTAAATATGATCTCCCAATGAATGGGTTCCTTTTTTATTTTGATGCTGTTTTGTTTTTGTTTTTTTCCTACTGTGCAGAAGATTTTTAGCTTGATGTAGTCCAATTTATTAATTTTTTTTCATGGTTTCTCTTGCCCTAGGCAATATATCAGTGAAAATTCTGCTTTGTCTGATGTTTGAGATGTTGCTGCCTGCATTTTTTTTTCTAGAATTTTCATGGTTTCATGAGTTATATTTAAGTTTTTATCCATTTTGAGTTTATTCTCGTGTATGGTATAAGTTGGTGGTCTAGTTTCATTTATATTTTGCATATACCTGTCCAATTTTCACAATACCCTTTATTGAAGAGACTATCTTTAGTCCATTGTATACTCTTGCCCCCTTTGTCAAATACTAATTGAACATAATATCTTGAGTCAATTTCTGGGTCCTTTGTTCTGTTGCATCGATCTATATACCTGATCTT